TTTGGAAAGAAAAATGTTAAGTTGTTTACATTTTTATGCTTTATATTTTGGAGCAGTTTTAGGTTTAGAGCAAGACTGAGTGGGAAGTTCTGTGATTGTCCATTTACCTCCTGCCCTCACAGATGCCAGCCTCTCCCTCTCTCAACATCCCATACCAGAGGAGTACATTTGTTATAATTGATGAGCCTACTTGAAGACGTCATCAACAAAAGTCCAAAGATTACATTAGGGTTCAATCTTATACAAGCTATGGTTTTTTTAAATGTGTGATAGCGAGCACTAACCATTATAGTATCATTCAAAAGAGTTCCCTTGCCTTGATTAAAATTATAAAATCCCACTTCTACCCACTCTTCCTTCTCTTATGGTTTGGGTTCTGTATTCTATATCACATAGTATTTTCTTTTTTCATATTATTTGAAACTCTGGTAGAAGTCTCGAGAATTTGGAGAAATGGGCAGAATGTATTTTGCAAAGGCAAATAAACACCACTTCTTCAAGGTGAAAAACTATTCTATCATCCAGAGGGTAGTGAGAACCCAAGAAGCCACTGTTTATACTTCTGTTAAAGAAGAAACCTAGGTTCAGAAATTCTTCAGACCTGACTTTGAGGCTGTTTCTCCATTTCCTAGATGCCTAATGTTGGAAATATTAATTTACCCTTTTTTTTTTTAAAGATTTATTTATTTATACAAGAGCTGGGTACAGGTTAGAGGTGTAGGAGAATGAGAGAATTCACCAGAGACAGAGTGGGGAACAGAATAAGTAGATGGACCAAAGACACTGCTGTGGGGAGCAGAAGGTGAGATAGGAGAGGTCTGCTGCGCCATGTGGGTATCTCCTTGGCTGTCCGAGAATCAAACCTGTGCTGCAGAGGCTGCGGACAGCTTCACAGCATGGAGCTCAACCCGCTGTGCCACCGGGGAGGCCCTAATTTACCCTTTTGAGGTCAGTTTTTCCCTCTGTTATTTTATTGCGTAGGATAACTGGGGGGTAAGCTAGAGGTGCAGGGGGTGGTGAGAGGATTCACCAGAGACAGAGTAAGGAGCAGAACAGGTGGATTTACTGAAATATACTGCCGAGGGGAGCAGTGGGCAAGACAGGAGATGTCTGCTTTAGCAACCTGACCTGGGATGGAACTCATGCTGTGGAGGTGGGAGTGCTCAGACTTAAACCATAGGCCACCAGGGAGGCCCCCAGTTTTTCCCTCTGTTAAATGGGGATTAGAGTGCCATGTTCAACAGCTATTATGAGATTCCATTGAGGTGACATAAAATACTCAGAGTTATTGCTAAGTCTGACACATAGTAGGCATTCTCTATTTTCAATGCCTTCACGGTGGGCCCATTTTTGAAGTCATAAGAAATCTCAAAATGAATTCTGTGATCATTTCCTTGCTTAGACACAAAATGAAAAACAGAAAAACCTCCTTCTCACCCTATGGGTGGGGTATTACTCCTCTATATTCAGATTCTTTTTAATAAGTAAAGGGCGTCTTGAATGTGGTGGGAGAGGCAAACCCACATGGCAGAACACAAGATACACTTTATTACATGGCGTGTTTCTGTACCACAGATGTGCACACAGATGTGGTCATCAACAGAGATAACTAGTTTACAAGCCCTCCCTGGAAAGTCCTCACAGTTCTTAGTAGAAAAGTGATTCTCAGCCAAACTCCACACTGAAGCTTAGCCCATGATTAAAGCATTTCCAACTGTTCCACACTGAAAAATGTTAGAAAGGAGAAATGTCCAACAGCACGTTTCCAGCCAAGGAGCAAGACCAGGGGCCACCTCTGAGGCTAAAAGTCTATTAAGATATGTATCTATTGTGGCTTTTACTTTCTATGTGTTTGACTACCTGTCTGTCTTTCCTTCTGTCCCTTCTTGCTCCCTTCTTTCTTTTTTTCTTCCTTTTTTTTCTCTTTAATTTCTTTCCTTTCATCCTCTCTCTCCTTTCTCCTCTTTGTCCCTAATGAAAAAAAAAGTCTATGTCAAGGGACTCCCAGGTGGCGCAGCGGTTGAGCGCTGGGTTGCGAAGCTGCCCTCAGCCTCTGCTGCGCCGGTTCGATCCCCGGCTGCTCCCCGGCCACCAGAGGAGGGTCCCACATGGCGCGCAGACCTCTCCTACCGTCCGCTGCTCCCCTCAGCAGTGTACCTCAGTCCCCCTGCCTGCTCTGCTCCCCGCTCTGGCTCTGGTGAATTCTCTCACCCTCCTGCACTTCTGACTGTACCCAGTGCTTGTATAAATAAATAAATAAATCTTTAAAAAAATAAAGTCTATGTCAAGGAAACATTACCTTGACTGTTCATTATTGACATGTTAATGGGGCACATTCACTCAAATTCTAGATGTAACTGCTTTATTAATTTCATTGATGGCATGTGACAATGAAGGTGTTACTATAAAGTCTAAGGCAGCAATTTAGCATAATAAATATTAATTATATTTAGGAACCAGGAAAATATAGTTTGGGTTCAAACCTGGTTTGTAGTCTTATTAATTATATGGTCTTTTCCAAATAGGGTAGTCCAGAGGATTCAATGTAATTCATGTATGAAAACAATGTCTTTATAATACATGTAGAAATGCGGTTTGTCTTGGGTTGTTTGCTCTAGAATTGGAGCTGGAACAAGAGTAAATTATTGGAATAGGTCTTTCAGGTTAAAGGGGGAGTAAAGAAAGCATAAGGAAAAGGGAAAAGAATTAAGCCACAATGTGGCTTCTTCTGGACTCTTCCGGCTTTAGCCTGGTCCATGAAGAACTCTGGAGTGTGAAAGACTCTATGGGGTTGTTCCTAGATTAGGTGATTGGCTGACCTTTTGCATTTTTCCTTGAAGCCAGTCATTGGCAGCTGGTTTACTTTCAGGTAAGGGTAGGCTATGACATCCTGAGCAAATGGCTGCCATCTTGCCAAGGGGCATTCTCTGGAAAGAGGGGAGTTGTGAGTAATTAGCAAACAATACTTGAAGGAATTGGGGAGTATGTGTACCAGTCTGGTAACAGTCATTGTTTGGGATGCCAATAGCATCCATTTAATAAATGGTTGCTAAAGTTTGTATAATTTTAGGCTGACATATGTCCAGTTCAAGGAGGGTCAATGAACTCCTGTGAGAGATGGTATTTTCTGAATGAGAAAAAAGAGATTGATTTTTTTTTTTGAATGTCTATGTAATTCTCTATACATAGGCTCCATCAACCCAGACTGAATTCTTGGTCAGTTGCCTTTGTGATGATTCACTTTTTGCTTATAAAAACCATTCATTACAACATACTAAAGGCTTTCTTAGCGGGAAGTGAGTCCATTCAGTATGAATGACTTGAAGGGTGAATAGAAGGTATCATATACACATTTGTGTATTTTTCTTTAATCCAAAAACTTGCCTAAAAAATTAAGGTAGAAAAAATCAAAATCAACACGCAGCTATAAACCAGAGACACTCTATGGGGGCGGGGAGAGGAGGGATTAGGGTCAAAATAAGGGGGGTGGGAATTGTATGGGGAATATAACCAAAATGAAAATGCATACATTGTGCAAAATTGAAAAATGATGTAAGAATTATGTAAAACAAAATAATAAATAAATAAATAATTAAGGTAGTATAAAATAAGCAAGGTTGCCTATTAAAGAGCAATTAATTAGAATTGAACCCATTTTACTTTCTCCAAACACTGGGTCTACAAAAAGCTTTCTGATTTTAAATGTTTTGCTTAAAATTTCATACCTACTTAACATTTCCGTCTCCACCTCAAGGATCATGGATGAGCAGGGTAGAGATTCAGAGGAGACTTTGTACTGGTTTAGATTTAATCTGTGAGGCTCAGTCATGTCAAAGTATACAGGGAGAAGGAGTAGAATAATGACAACTCATTAAAACCTTAATTCACAAAAGTTAAATCACACATTGTTTATTTTTTAAATAATACAATGTTTATATATCTAAGGGGGATGAAAGAGATCAATTAGCCTTGTAGAAAATGAGGTGATCCTATGATTAATTAAAACCTGTGTATCATCTCAGTAACTTCAGATATGCCTCTTTTCTTTATAAAATAATGCATTTACTTTTGTCTTCTGGAAGTTAAAATGATAGTTGATCTTTGTAATTACTAAAATAGTATTCAAAATAATGGTCTGATTTGGCTTGCTGCATAATGCAAATCATAGTATAAATATATTGTCCTATGATTTAGAATTCTACCTTGGCAAGAGGGTGACTGACTTTTGGAAAAAAGGAAACAGCAATGTTTCCCTTTTTTTCTTTTATTTATTTATTTATTTATTTATTTATTTATTTATTTATTTATTTATTTTACTTTTTTGGTTCCAGAACAGAGGCACTCTTGCCTATCTCTGACTTGTTCTCCTTACTAAGTGAAATGAGTTAATGACAAAGTAATGTTCAAAAATTAAATGATGACAAAGCCAAGAGCATGAAATGACTAAAACTTTGTTGCTTGTGGCTTGAGGGGGTGGGAGGAACCACCCTTTGAGGTGTCTGAGTTGGTCACCCATCAGACTTGCCAAGGACTGGGAGGGAAAAAAAAATAAGTTGGACAACTTCCCTCTAGGGACAGGACCCCAGAATTCCTTTGTAGTAATAATATGGGTAATGAACAGGATATGTAGTTGAAAGGAAAAGCAAGAATATGAATAGAATAGAGGTAAAGAGGAGGGTGATGACCCTTTGGCTTTCTTGCTTACTCTTACTACTTAAATGAATCCAAGATTGACTTTTCCATTGGCTATCTTTATAAGATGTCCATGTACTAACAAAAATCAGTTATGTTTGGATAATATCTACATTATTCTTCTTTGATATGAAATATATTCATAGAAACAAAATTTAAGTCACAAGCCATCTCAATGACTCATTTTGCCCTAAAAATTTCTATTTTATTGTTATCCTAAGATTAAGAGAAATGCAAGTTGCTATGTCAATCTAGTTTTAGTTCTTTCCTTCATCATTCTAAACTGTGATGCTAAGAATGTAGTCATTGTGCAGACCAGAAAACTGAACCCAGTGCAATGAAGTTCATTCTAATGGCACTCAGTAGAGCAGAGCTTTGGCTTTGGGCAAAGCTAATTGAGAAACTGCACTCATAAGCCTTTCTTCCAGCTTTATAGTGGGTCCTTAGTTTTCACCAAGGCTTCATCATGCTCCCTCCAATCTCTTCTTCATACTATAGCCAGTGAGGTCTATCTACAAGGTAAATCTAATCTTTTATTTCCCTTGATTAAAACTCTGGGATATTGTCATAAGTTGAGTTGTATGCTCTGTGACCCCTGCCCCAAAAAAATCATCTACTGAAGTCCTATCCTTTGATCTATAAGAATGTGGTCTTACTTGGAAATAAGATCATTGCAGATGTAATTAGCTAAGATGAGGTCATTAGGGTGGGTCCTAATCCAATATGACTGGTGTCCTTATAAAAAGAAGAAATTTGGACACAGAGATGTGTGTGGTGAGTACACTATATGAACAGAAAGATGAGCATCTACAAGCCAAGGAGGGAAGTCTGGAACAGATCCTACCCTCACAGTCCTTAGAGGGAACTGGCCTTGTTGACACTTTGATTTTAGACTCCTAGGCTTCAGAACTGTGAGACAACGAATTTCTGTTAAGTCACCCAGTTTGTGGTATTGTTATAACAGACCAAGCAAACCAATACAGATAGTTTCCTATTATTCTTGGATGATGTCCTATAACTATAAACAGGAGTAGACTATAAGGTCAAAAACCAAACATAAATCAAGTTAAGCATAGTTAGATTTTTGGAATTTTCAATAGGTGTAGTAAAAATTCATTAATTACCATAATGTTATAGATCAGACACTGTTATAGATGATGGGTATTTGACACAATACCTGCTTTCAGAGAGCTTACACTAAGGTAGGTACAATTTCAGTAATCTGTTAATTATAAGAATCATTAATTATTTATGATTATTATTCATAATTATAAGTAATTATAATAAGTGTTATAACTTTCAGTGAAATATTAGAATACTAAAGGAAACAACACTTCATGCACTAATCAGGGAAACAAAGATTAACTTGAAGCAGTCATGTTTGAACTTCTATCTGAAGGATGAGTCAAGGATGGGTTAATGGATAAAGAAGTGGCTTCATGGTCAAGGAGACAGCATCTATGAAGATTCCAAGGCTAGAGGCATTGTTGTACTTTCTAGAACCCCAAAAGAGGTAAGCATAGATGAAACAGAAAAAGCTAGGTAGAAAGTAGTGATGGATCAGGCATGAGAGGCAGATAAGAGCAAAACCCAAGTGCAACAGCACAATAGAGTTGCTTTGTTAAAAGACTCCTCAGCCTCAGTTGCAGTGTGAAGAACAGATACGAGGAAACTATGTGGAAGGCTATGGTGAGAGTTAAGCATGCAAATGGACAGGAATTATAGATTTAAGAAATAATCCACTCCTGGTATCCAGTAGGTGACTTTCAAATTAAGTGGACATTATGGAGGCAATAGATAGGGAAGGAGCAAGACTGCTGATTTTCCTGTTCACCCCATTGTATGGAAGGTGGTATTATTCATAGAGATGGGAAATATTAGATGAGAACTGTTTTTTTTTTTTTTCCTTCTAGTGATAGTGAGGTCAGAAGATGCCACTGAATGCCTAATCATTGCATTTGAAGCAATTGAAAGATTGCAAGCCTCATTGGTTAGAAGATCTGAATCACAGAGCTATAAATGTGTTAAGTTTTGGAATGTAGATGAAAACTGAAGCTGTGGGAGCAAATGTGGACCTAGCAAAAAAGACTAGATTATGAAGAGAAAAGGTGTTAGCACAATTGAGGGGTCAAACCTTTGAAGTTTGGATATAGGGGGATGGACCAGCAAGAATGATAAGGAGAATGACAAAGGAGAATACCCAGAAAGGGTATGTTGGTGGTGGTGGATGGTTTTTAAACTACTGACTAGTAAGTCAAATAGTATAATTCCTGAAAAAACGTCTAAATACTTGTCACATTGGTGATTAGCAAGAACTCTACAGGGACTTAATGGGAGAATTGAACAGGAGGTATATCAGATGTTGTTGGGGGAGTGCCCTTCCATATCCCTTGAGTTCTCACTTCTACACCCTAAAGGTTGATTTGCTTGAGGTAATTGTTTATCTAGTTAGATAACCTTATCCTAAGCACAGAGCAAGTCAAAATGATAAAGTTAATGCCCTAGAAACAACCCTAAAATTATGACATGGATAAATAAATAAATATCTTTGTCCATTGCCCTTTAGATGAGATAACTCTCAAGAATGTTCTTCGCTGTCTCTCAGAGTTTCCCAGGGGTTTGAGTTCTAGTTGCCCAAAGTAATAACTAGTTGATCATATTTTCTTCATGAACTTTCTGTTCTTCCATCAAATTCCTCTACTCCCCTACTGGTGTTTCTAGGGTCATTCCCTTAAAGACCTGACCAACCCATATAAGAGATGAGGAAATGTAGAAATACTTGTAAGCTTAATGAGGAGAGCCTAAGAGTGGGTAGCAGGAGACAAAATAGAGCAAAGATGGTTCTGATCATGAAAAATTGTCCTGAGTTTGTTTAAATGCTAGTAGAAAGGATATGGGAGAGAGTGTTTATAGGAATCCATGAATTTTTTTCCCCCTGATGTTGTTGGTTAAAATAGTAAAGAAAGTGAAAACTAAAGGAAAGAGAAACATAAGAGGGTTTGCATTATGAAACTGAGATGGCCTCTTCGTAGGTATGACTGAGACCACAATTTTCTTCCCCAGAAGAGTAAAACAAGTACTGATGTTCTCAGACTTTTGTGACTTTAGGAATTCCCAGAATCTCTAGAATTCACCAAACCACTCCATGACACATTTTTCCTTCCAGATGTGAACACTAAAGGGTCAGTTGTCAGCTGAATATTCTTGCATTATTTTCGCAGCAATTATTTTAAGGAATGCACTTGAATAAAATGCACTTTTGGCATCATTTTTAAGAATGGATGATGATTTATGCTTTTCTTGCAGGGACAAGATGGCTCTGGGCATGAGTCATAACTGTATGCTGGGAAGATTCCGATGGGAACCTTGCTCTTGCTGGTTGATCCATACCTTACATGGACTTGAGGCCATGTGTGGCTTTTATTAACATGTGCATTTTGCTTGTTAAGGCTCGAACTTCATCTTTTCCTTCCCAACTCATGTCCTGTTTTCATTTCACACGCACCTGATTCGGAATTTGTGCTTGGGACTGAGTAGCTTGGGAATAGTAATTTGGAAAATCTCTGATTATTTGTCAGCTAAGATGGGATGATGTGTTCTCAGCTGCAGTTGGGAAATGGTCTATTTTTCTGCAGGGGACCAGATTCAAATGACAAAGTTCTAATTCTTTCAGCTTCTCTGTCTACATGGGCAGGTTTGGTGCAAATAAAAATTGTTCATGGGTCAAGAAAGCTATGAACCATAGCGGACCTTTATTTTTCTCAATTACAGAAAGAATTACTTTACATGCAACCTTCACAAGTATTTTCCTAGTGAAAAATTTCCGTGCCAGAGCAGATGTTGTTTGGAAACAACACCGAAGTCTTTTAGGGGCCAAGGTGAATGAACTATATGACTGATTCTTGAAGTTTTCCAGGTTAAGCTCATTTCTGTCATTGTTTTGGCACGGGTTCTCAAAATGTGTTCTATAGCCTTGCTTCTCATAATTTAACAGGCATAAATCTCCAGGGCATTTTGTTAAATGTCAGAGTGTTTCACTAGTTCTTGGGTAGAGACTTGCAGTTCTGCTTTTCTGGTAAGTTCTAGGGGAATGTAAATGTGAATCCCATGGATTCCCAAAAAACACTTGGAGTAGCAGAGGGATGTAGAAAGTTGGTGTTGTAAGATGCCATCTTACTCAAATATTCTCTAGCCCAAGTTAAAAAAAAATCATTTTACCTTCCTCTTAAAAATTTAGTATATTAATGAATTCTGAGAAGACTGCTCTGAGGAAGTCTACATAAAATTAATGGTCATAGAACCATATTTCAGAAGGTTATTTCTTAATTTGGAGAATTTGATTTTTGTGAAAAGATAAGATGCTTTGAAGTATGATCTCCATTCAGATAATGGTTCATGCACTTAAGCGGATTCAAGAGGAAGTTTTGAAACTGTTTGATCCTCTTTGTGGTGATCCATGTAACTCTTCTCAGGTGAGTGTTATTGGTTCTTTAAACAACTGAGACTATAAGCAGAACTCAATAGCACAAATGAACAGTAAACTCTACAACTAGGATTTTGGTGTTGAAAACACATAGTCTTTCCCTTCAACCAGCTCTAAAGATTTTGATAGGGAGAGCTGCCACCACGCTTTTGTCAAGGGGCTGGCTGAGCAAAGTGATATACAGGAAAGCCAGACTAGCAGGATTAAATCCCTTCAACTATCTTAAATTGTTTGCAAACTCAGTGTGTCTATGTATCCATCGTCTGATAAGTTCCCATGAAGATTCCTGGGCTTCTGCCTGAGAAATGAGCATCCTTTGGGTAATGGGTATATTCTAACATTCTTTATTTTATTAAGTATTCCCAGGGTTTTTGGATGCAGGTGCTCTGATGACCACAGTATGAGATTAAGTTCTGTTTCCTTAGTGTCAGAGCAGAAGCAACCTGGCCAAAAGCAAGCTTCCTTGTTTTAGCTCTCTGACCACGCCCCTTTATGAATCATGGTTTAATATTCTGTCTTGGAATTTTATGCAGGATATATCTGACTGCATGGGAAATGTTTGCATTTTCTCAGTAACTGCTATTAAAGATACTGTCATCATATCAGAACATCAGAAATTTCTGCAAAAGAACACCACTGGGAGAGGAGTACCCCTTGATTCTGCAGTTTGGGGTGTAGGTGCGCCAGGACGGAATATTTATACATGTACTTCACTGTAAACATAAATAAAAATCCTCTCCTGTCTGATAAAGCATGTCTTTGCATTAATATGAACATGTAAACTTGCATGAATTTTGCCCCAAGTTATTAAATGAACACACAAGTATCTGTGGGTTTAGCTATTCCCTTGGTGTATCCATGTAATTCAGAGACTATTTACTTTCCAGCTGGAGAACTGTAGCTTTGTTTCCTATTCTTTTTGTTTTCTGCATACTTTTTTAAATCGAATACATTTGACATATAAAATTGTGCAAATTTAAGGTGCACAAGTTACTTTAAAAAAATATTTATTTATACAAGCACTGGGTACAGTCAGAAGCGCAGGAGGGTGAGAGAATTCACTACAGTCAGAGCGGAAAGCAGAGCAGGCAGACTGACGAAGTACACTGCTGAGGGGAGCAGCAGGCATGTCAGGAGAGGTCTGCGCACCATGTGGGACCCTCACCAGGTGGCCGGGAATCGAACCAGCACTGCAGAGGCTGCAGGCAGCCTTCCAATCCAGTGTTCAACCGCTGCACCACCGTGAGGCCCTACTTTGATACATTTATATGTTGTAAAGAATATAATTGCACTTGTAGTGATATTTATCACATTATATACAGCATATTATTGTCTATATTCATTATATTGTTCATTTGATTGCTGTGACTTATTCATTACTTCTTGCAAATACATATACTTAACATAAATATTATCCTCTCACTCCCTACCTTCCAGTAACAACATTCTATTCTCTCTTTTCTAGGAGATTTATGTTTTTAAATTTCACATATAAGTGGTACCATACAATACCTGTCTTTGATTTATCTTACTTAACATAATGTCCTCCAATTCCATTCATGTTGTGACAAATGGCATTTATTATATATTGAATATGATAAAGAATAAGCAAATGGGTCAAGATGGTCAAAAGCTAAAATTTTTCAGTTGTAAGCTCAATAAGTCCTGGAGATATAATGTACTATATATGGCCAATAGTTAATAATATTCTATTGTATATTTGAAAGTTCCTAAGAGAACAAGTAATAAAAGTTCTCATCATAAGAAAAAAAATTATAACTGTGTGGTGATGAACACTAATCAAACTTTTGATGGAAATCATTTATATATGTGTGTATATATACACATATATGTACATATATATACAACCATTATACTGTATAAACAAAATTAATAAAGTATTATGTCCTAATTGTATCTCAATAAAAAGACGGATAAATCCTCTTTATAATTTTTTCCCAGAAATATATGTTGTCTTACATTAGTATTTTGTATTGAGGTATTATATGATGATAATTACATGTTCCCTTTTTTTACAATTTCAACTCGATTGGAACATTGTAAATGCTTAATTACATTGACCTTTATAAGTCTAGGTTTTCAATATATTTTCTAAAATTCTCCAAATTTTCTACATGTATTAGATTTCAACTTTTTATGTTAATTCTGTTAAATATGTGATTTTAAAAATAAAGCACCTTATGTTTTTAAAAATACTGGCAAGTAAATTAATGAATTTTTATTACTGTTTTAAATGTTCTCAATCATTGATATCTTCTCGCCATCGTTTCTTCAATTAAAAATTCTCCTCAATTTACGGGCCTCCCTGGTGGCGCAGGGGGTTAAGATGCAACCAATGAAGCTATCCGCAGCCACTGCAGCAACAGTTCGATCCCCGGCCAGGGAGCTACCCACATGGTGCAGCAGACCTTTCCTGTGTCACCTGCTGCTCCCCTCAGCAGTGTATTTTGGTCAGTCTGCCTGTTCTGTTCCCCGCTTTGTCTCTGGTAAATCCTCTCACTCCCCACACCTCTGGCCTGCACTCCAGCTCTTGTATACATAAATAGGGACCAGGAAAATGAATAACTATAAGAAAGTGAAAATCAAAATCAACATAAATAAATCTTTAAAAAAATTCCCCTTATTTTCAAAGGGCTGATTCAGACTTTTCCTAAGGATTCAGCAACAAAACTTGTAATGGCTGTGTCACTCAGGTAGCCACAAGGTGAGCATACTTTTGTGGGAAAGTTATTGACATAGATCTGGAGGTCAACAGAGAACAATGATAATTCTGTTTGAAGGTTACTTCAGAAAACTTCTGGGGTAATTCTGTCTCTGTTATGGAATTGTAGAAGTCATATTCAGTATTACTTTAACTTGATTTAGTGACTTTTCTGTAATGTATTTTTGCCTATCTTCTGTCATTCAACTTGCCTTTATTTTATAGGCTGAGGACTGTGGCCCAGAAGATATTTAAGGACCTATGCAATGTCAATCAAACAAACAAAATAAACATTGCTACTCCAGCTACCAAATCCACCACTGCTCCTCATAGACCTCAGTTCCTAGTTACTGCTCAGTCGATGCCATGTAGGTGTGAATAGTTCCATTTATCAGAGCCTCTTGGCTCTGCCATCTGTTTAAATGAAAAAGTACTTGGCTGAATAATAACTAAGTAAAAGGTATGTATAAGAAAACAAAGAAAAACATGTTAGTTTTAACAAATCAACATGCTCGAGTTTGACAAAGTGTTGATGTACTGCTTCTCTTTGGCTCTTAGATCTTTGGGTTGGTTTTGAAATGAGATACAGGGATGACTTTAGCACAAAAGAATTTTTTTTAATTCTAACTCATTGGTTAAATAGAGCATCTTATTTTAATAGGAATGAAGTTCACATGAATATTGTTGCACATAGATAACTTTTTCAATACGTCACATTTTCCCCATGCCTAAGTCCTGGACTGGAAATTATATGACATCCGCAGAATATCATGGCAACCAGTTAACACTGGAATACTGAGCAAAACAAGCAACCAAAACAATCAATTTTCCTATTGTTTACTCTCTGTTATATCAAACATCTATTCTGATTTTTAATTCCTTCATTGCCACCTTCTTTTGTGGAATAGGTAGCAAGTTGGGGATAATATGGATGCTAGATTAGCCTTTTGTGGGTGTTACTTAGGTTCAAGTTGAAGTTGTTAAAGTTAGTCTTCTCTTTCTCTCCTACACTCACACTCATTTACACACATAGAGGATCAAATACATACTGATTTTTTTTTAAAAAAATCTCTTATTTTTATTTTATATATTTTTTTACATCATTGTTCATTTTTAAACAATATTTGCTTCCCCCAACCCCTCAGGGCTAGTCCCGATAGAGTTTCCCCCACCAGTACACCTGTGCACCATCACCTTAGTCCCTAGTGCTCCTCCTTCCCTCCCTCTGATCTCTCTCCCTCCTCCTCCCCCACAGCATGTCTCTGATTTATAATTGTCCATTTTTGCTTTGTTGTGTTTTGTACTGTTATTACTTTCCTACACTGATGGTTCCTCTATATTCATGTTTTCTATGGGACATGGTGACTACTTGATAATTCATGATGAAAAATGATGGGCAAGATTGCTTTTTACCTCAGTACCTCTCACCTTAATGGGATCCACATTGTTTATTGGCTACGATATGACAAGTTAGAGGAAATTTTTATGCAAATGAAAAAAAATCTGGGGCATAGTCATTGTGGGATGTTGTAAGTGGATCACATGCTGCCGGAGACCAGGGGGCTGTCTTCGACTTACTCTTTA